CATGTATAGGGTTCATCAATTGTAACTTCTTTTGAAAAAAATTAAAATAAGTCTCATAACTGAAGGGTCAGACCTATATTTAAACGCGTATATGTACGTTACTCGCCCTGAGAAAACTGATAGACATGGTCCCCCGAATACGTTTTTTTTCAAAAATTGGCTCCTATGCGAGATATCAAAAATCAACTGGTAAAAGGTTTGTAATATCATGATAAATAATTTATCAGTTGACAACTTTTTGATATAATTATCAGGAACCGAGATATGTTGCTTTTTTTTGACTAATCTTTGCCTCATCCCTGAACTGATCTCGACAAACCCTTCAGTATTAGTACAAATTATGCAAAAATCAATTTCCTGAAACTCCATGGTTCCCGGAAACGTCCAGTCCGCGGATCAAACTTTTTTTAAATTTCCACCCAAATACTCATAACCACTCCCCTTTGTCACTGACACATACTCTCTTTCTCCAACACGAATTCTCACACTTGCCTGCTTTTTGTCACCATTGGCAACACAAATCAAGTCGAATGAGAAATGAGTGAGCCAACTTTTATAGTCGCGCGCGTCGCAGTCTGCGAGAAAGAATAAAATCAAAACAAGGCAAATGAAAGGGAACGGATGAATGGGACATAATGTCTAGAAATAGACTACGAAATGATGATTTATTTTTTGTTATTTTTCAGATTGAAAAACGAATGAACGAATACCGAGAGAATTATTGTACGAGAAGACCAATGAACGAATGTGATTTCGATGAAATGGTCAGATTTATCGCCGACGGAGCCACAAGTGGACTTTTGAACACACGACCTCGATTTGATATCCTAGGATCTCTATTCTTCTCGGCTACCGTAATCTCAACCATTGGTTTTGGAACTTCGACGCCCAGAACTCAACTCGGAAGATTTATAACGATTGTGTATGGAGTCGTCGGATGCACCTGTTGTGTGCTGTTTTTTAATTTGTTCCTGGAGAGACTGGTGACTGGAATGTCATACATCTTAAGGTAAGATTTTGAATAAAATAGTTCAATCATGGATTATTTCTAATTTTTTAGAAGTCTTCGAGAGCGGAAAATCCGATACAGGCTTAAGGAGCCAGGAAACAAGCCGGTCACTCTTCTCATCAATAATGAAGACTTCAATGAATCTTCCAGGTTAGAAAATAGTAATGAGAATGTGTAAGAAGAGGTTTCATTTGAAAAAAGGCATCGGGGCCGCAAGGCCGCTGTACCCTTGCCCAGAATTACTCTTTTCCAAATTATGCGACTGGCCATGGCACAGTCCAATCTGAAAATAAATGTTGAATAATTTTACTGCAAGCTCAAATTTTTATTGCAGCTCTTGCGAGGGTCATATGGACAACTGGAGACCGTCAGTTTACAAAGTATTCTTCATTCTTTTCTCCATGTGCCTGGTTCTTATCACCGCTTCCGCCGGTGTCTATTCGGTCATCGAAGACTGGGTCTACATCGATTCTCTCTATTTCTGCTTTATCAGGTTTATCGGTATCATGCGGATTTTCGTTGAAATTTCCTTTTTTATTTCAGTTTCGCCACAATCGGCTTTGGTGATTATGTATCCAACCAGCAGGATGTGACGAGGATGAGCCCGGATCTGTACAGGTATGTAGGTGTATTCTTGTGTAGGAGTTAAAATTAAGTATAACAAATGATTCATTAAAAATATTTCAGATTTGTCAACTTCTGCATTCTGACTCTGGGTGCTTGCTTCTTCTATTGTCTCTCGAATGTATCCTCGATTGTGGTTAGACAACTCTTGAATTGGATGATCAAAAAGATGGATATCAAAGTAGAAGATAGATCATTCCTCTGTTTTAAGAAGAAGAGAAGATACATGGGTCTCGGTCTCCGTCCACCGAAAGGTATTCGGACAGCTGAAATCAATAGAAACAAATAAAAATTCTTTCAGGATACGACATGACATCTGAAAGATCGTCAGTAGATTACGCAGATGGGTTGCTGTCGTTGAAAGAGTTTCTGATGAACAATCAAAGTTCAATGATCATGCTTCAAAAGCAATTGATAAAAAGTGCGATGAAGAATGTTGTGGAGAATGAGGAACAGAAGATCTCAGCAACACGAGTAGGACCAATGGGAATTCTTGATGAAGCATTTGGAGATGAACCATGAGAATTGATTGATGTACAGTACCACCTCGGGTAGATTTTCTGATTGACTTGTAGATTTTGTTCAAGTTGTATTACATTTCGGGTCTTCTATTTTCAGAATAATACTTTTTGTTAATATTTCTCTCCTTTTCCTGTCCATCCCCCCTCTCTTCTGAAATTGTACACATTTCCCATTTGAGCGGGTGCTAATTGGTTTGCATAATGAAAATGTATCTTCATCCGTTCAGACTACAAACATTTCTTGATTCCCAGTAATGCGTGGGCTATATGGAGAACCAGAAAAAAACTGAAACTGATCTAGATAAAATGACGTGCAAACTGGAAAAGCGTGATTTTTGAGGTGGGAAAGTTTAGAAAAAATTGAATTCCCACAGAATATCTGTGGGAATAGCATCATAAGGTGCAATCCGTATGAGCAGTTTTCAGAGCGAAGTGTGAGAAATTGACATGTAAATCACTTTTTTGGGGTAGGCAGAAATTTTGTATCAGGTTTTATGACCAAGTTGCATCATCCCAATCCTAGAAGATCAGTCTTATATCTTATTTCGGGTCACAGAAGAATACGAAAAAAGATCGTTCAATCTTCGCGAAAATAAAACATCGTTCTTATTCGTTTTTCTTCGTGTTGAGAGGCATTTTCATCAGGGGTGTACAGAATGTCTTTTTTTCGGAATGTCGAGAATTACGAATTTCAATATTCCGAAACTTCAGTATTTCGGAACATTCCATTTTAACAAATTTAAAAAATTGAAGTTTCGGGATTTCGGTATCCCACTGCCCCTCACAAAAGGGCGGAAAATGGGTGAAAAGTTGACAAACAGATTTTTTTTTTAACTGAAAGTGATTCCGCTCGAGACCCACACAGACACTCGCGCTTTTAAGTTCAAAAAGCTCTAATTCTGGAAAAAATCGGAAATATTCCGGCCGGAATTTCATTCAGAATTCGGTTCCGAACATCCTTGATTTTAATCGATAGAGCAGTTGTATCTCAGTGAGCACATCGTGCCTTTGACGAAATGAACAACCTGTTTTAGATTCATTTTCAAAATCTTGAAATAAAGAAAAACTAGAGATCAACAGGAGACTAACTTATTCGAACCCTATTTCACATATAAATCGGTACACTCTTGATCAGCAATATTTACAATAAAAAGTCGAATAAAACGGAATTGTTGCCACTTTACAAAAACCGGCTTCATAAAAATGTACTTCCTATCTTCTAAAACTTTCCAAATGAAATTATGGAACAATTTCATCTCTTGCAAATTGGACAGATCCTTATGCATTTCCACATTTAGTTGACAAATTTTTACACCTTGTCGATCCAGATTCCCATCGTGATGCAGCTGGTTGAGAACCGGATACTCATTGCCTTCGATGTCCATCCAAAGAATATCGATTTTGCTTTTTTGAACACTATTCTTGAAAAAGTGGTCAATTCCAATGTGCTGTGTTTTCTGTTGCACATAACCATCATCTAAATGCATTTTGATTTTGGATTACCGTAAAAACTGTAATATAACGCCACCTGTATTAGAAGACCCCCTTTAATACAGCGTCACCCTTAAAGGGCGTTTACAGGTAGCAAAACAAAGCTTTTATGATCGATTAACACAGTAATAGTGGGATCTACTAATTACACACCTTTTTTTTACCTTTTGGTGCCCTTTAAGTAAAAAATCAATTTTTGTTACCTCGAATCAACCCAAAACACCCCTTTGAAAAATAGAACGCCATGGCGCTATATGACAGAGTTTACGGTAATTGAAGAATAAACAACTTACTCCCCAAAACCACAGAATCATCAATTCCGTTCTGATCACTGACTGCATACTGGAAATATTTGCCTCCTAAGCTTTTTTCGTACAGATTTTTATTAATCTCAGAACTTGGATCAGCTCCGAAGAACTGGATGTTCGGGTACAACTGCAAAGCAATTTTTGGATTATTCTATTCTTCACAATCTTTTCTTTTTTACCTCTCTCAATCGGATTTCAGCACTAACATCATGACCGATTCCTAATGTTACCATTGTGAGATTTTCGTTCTAGAACTGAACGGATTATCATATTTTCATTCATTTCAACAGACCTTTCTCGGAAAAGCAACATATTTAGTCTCATCTCTGTTTCTTGATGGTCGAATATCCAAAGCGGTGTATGCTTCTAAGCTGTCGCATTCAGAAATGACGTTGGTGAAATCGTACCAGAACTGAAAGAATAATAGTTTTTACAGATTAATAAAATTTGCTCAAAAACGGGTGTTCATAACTACCGTAAACACAGAGTGAAAACCAACTTTGAACTCAATTATCTCCTGACATGTGAAAGAAAAAAAATACTAGTCAACTAATAAAATGTTCATCGAAATTTAAAAAAATATTTTATCAGTGAATACCTTTTCGATATCTTTTGGAAGGAATGCAATACATGCGCTCGAAGCGGAAGATTTATGTGACACTCTATTAGAATGTTTAGGGTATGAATAGACAAAAATGGAAAATTGACGAAAATTGAAAATTGAATAAATAAAAACTCACATTTTGGTAATTCCCTTTTAGTGGTGCCAACTTAGGTTTGACACATTTGTAGAATTCTCGAAAGATTGGAGAAATCGTTGTGTCGTTGACTAAAATCATATCAGCCTCGTCCCAGGGAACCACATTTTCTTGAGCTTTTACAACAACCCAAACAAAGAAAACTGCTACCAAGAACCACAACAAGCTCCTGAGACAGAATATTGCACGAGGAAATGTAAGCCTATCTAAAATTAAGTCATCAGAAAAAAGCACAAACCATATTCAACTCACTGTTGTCTAGACGGTTATAATTGAAATTATCCATTAAAAATGAGAAGAACAAGACGACAGAAATCTTTAGTGTGGTTTCCTTCTTCCTTATATCCTGTCGACTATATTTCCATTCTGCGAGATGGGTATCTTCATTTTTCTGGATAAAATAGCTTGCTTATTCGTGACGCAGCTTCGTGGCAGATGGACATACATCGCAGATTCTGAAGGTGATAATAGTGCACTTCTGGATAGAGAATTTTGGGAATGGAAGTTTCAGAAATTGAAATTGATAACTGAAATTCAGAAGCTATTTGGTTAGCTGCCATAAAATTGGAAGTTTTTGTGTCAACAATGCATGTTTTTGTAAAATGGGTTTTCCACAATCTCAATCCAAAATGTGTTTGCAATTTACTTCAATGGCTCTCTGTCCAACTTCATGCAGCCTCTCTGATACGAATTGGCCGATTGCGAAGTAATGCACTCATTTTTTTGCGCACCTATTTTTCTGTCTCATCGTGATTCTAATGGGTAGAATGGAAATTCGACAGATTGGTATCAGGACTACAACGCGCGTAAGCATGGACTTCCCAGCCTACCTTTTCGATCTTCTACGACTGGATCTTCGCGTCATACAAACGGGCATTACCATTATGAAAATTGGTGGTCGTAATCAATAAATGGAAAACTAATTCATTGTTAAGATTAATTGAGTGTTGATAGAAATCTAACGTAACTGTCTGGCAAAAACTATTGTCGGAATTATAAAACTGTCACCTCGGCGCATGCAGACAGTGAAAAACACTCAAATTTTTGTATACTCCGAGGTGACAGTTTTTTTTTGTTCCGCCAATAGAAACTCAAAAAATGCAGGACTTTGATGGGCTTATCAAACATACGGCATAACGTTTCCCTCAAAATCCGGGCTTAGGAACGATGTTAGGTGTACGACAACGTCCAGCTTCTCTCTATGACAGACCCAGGGCCTAGGACCCAGGACCATGCTAAAAGCCCATACTCGATTCTACAAATGGGCCAATTTAGAGACAAATTCTGAAGAGCTTTCTGAACAACATTCCCTTCCGAGTCAGTTAAAACTTTTAGAAAGGTTTGTTGCATTTTGATGGATTGATATTTTCTAAAAGTTATTTGTCATATGATCCGTTTTGTTTTTGACTTCAAAATTACAACGGGAGAAATAATGCCCTATGAATTTTTCGAAATCTCCGTTTTTTTAGATGCGGAACTTGGCATATCTCGGGACATGAGAGAAAGGATGGATGGATTTTAGGGAAATTCAATACAACATTTCAAACTCTTAGAAACTTTCATTCAAAACAAAAATGTTACCCGGTTTTTTAAACAAATTAAATAGGAAAAGAGATTATCTCATGTACAGACTAGTGCATTCTGGATCTTCAACATTCAATACAACAACTCGAATGAAATCATGGAACCAGTAAACGTAGAATGGCTTCACAATGATGTACTTTCGATCTTCCATGATTTTCCATACGAAATCGTGGAACTTTTGTTTTTCACCAGTCACGTCCTTGAGAAGATCTTTGTGAATCTCGACGTTCATCTGACAAATCTTGACTCCTCGCCTATCGAGTGGACCTCCGCGATGAATCATATCCAAAACTGGAAACTCGTTTCCTTCAGTATCCACCCAGAGAATATCGACACGTGGTCGTTTGAGCATGTTTCCAAAGAAGTAGTCTGCTCCGATGTGCATTGTTGTCTCATCACGGTACTTTTCTGAAATAAAATTCACTTCGGTATTTTAGTAAACTTCTGAAAACCGACTTCTGAAAATGTAAGACTTCTGCATTCCTCCTTGTCCACTAACAGCTACTTGGAAATAGTTTCCTCCAAGTTTCACTTCGTACAAATCTTTGTTGATTTCCGGACTTGGATCGACTCCGAAGAATTCAGTTCCTGGCCACATCTGGAAATAATATGCTTAGTTTTCAGATGCATCTAACTATGAACTTACTTTCTTTAATCTGAGTTCAGCGTCCACATCATGACCGATACCCAGTGTTACCATAGTAATATTTTCTTCTTTTTGTTTTGGGAATGAAACGTATTTTATCTCATCCGTGTTAGCAATCGGCTGAAGATCGAAAGTTTTGTACTCTGGCAGATTATCACATTCTTCGGTTAAATGAACATACAGTAGCCAGAACTGAAATAGAAATTGTAGTATCGTAGAGAAGATTCCGGAAAATCTTACCCTGTCATAATTATCTTTTTGTCCAATAATTTTGGGATAAACGCAGTTATAGAATGCATCAAAAACTGGGTTGACTTTTCTGGTCGATAGAACTGGAAATAATGATTCTGCTTTCTCATCTTGAAAAACCGAACCAATAAGCAGTACGGCACTGATGAATACCAATAACAATAAAACGTATTTCGATGTAGCTCGATTGTAAAAAAGAGCTGAAACCTTTGACTAAAAATGAATAGAAACTAACTCTTTACCTTCTTTCAGTCGATTGTATGGTTGTGAAGTGATCCTCATTTTTAAGAAAGACAAGCCTCTTTTTTTGGCGCTAGTCTAGGTTCAGAATGTCACTATACTTTTCTTTTATACACACCTGGGATGAACAAAGAAAAAATTGTTCTCCACTCGCATTTCAACAAGATTTTATCGGAGCTTCGGAGGATTTTCTGGAGGCGGCAACTCGTTTTTTTCGTCGATGCCATCGGGTACTGTACCTCGATTCTTTGTTCTATTTGAAAAAGAGACAAAATTAGAATATCGAGTCTTCCTTTGGACAAATTCTGGTTTTTTGGTGGAACAAAATTTTTCCTCGATTCTTTTTCAATTCTAAGTGATTCCTGATCCGGTGTCGCTTATAAATAGGATGACTGTCTGAAACTTTTTTGACAGTTTTTTGAAGAATTTCATGTAAAAGTTTTCCATTTCTAGTAGAAATTTATTTATCGACTTACAATTAAATTACCCCCCCTCTGAATAGAAGGTCACCGTCCTATTTTTATCAGATATGAAACAAATGTGTCAGCTGATAAAAGATAAAATTTTTACCATGATATCACAACCATTGTATCAGTTGGCATATTCTTGATACCGCAGAAATTACAGAAATTGAGATAATTGCGCTCAAAGTGCAAGAATAGAAGGTGGCCTTTTATTGGAGCGTTTATGGTACTTCATTATACAAAAATGCAGAATAATTTTGATGAGAGTAAAACTAAAACTGAAAAACACTGTTATCGTCATTCTTAATAAGTGCCGAACGTGGAGCCATCATGTTATCCTGAATCCAAAGAAGGTACCAATAGAGACGCCGTCCGGTGAGAATCTCGTAAATCTTGAATAGAACCATTCCTCCCATGAACATTATCATCACCTGGAAACCAGTCGATTTTTCATTATTCCCTGATAGGTATACCTTGTCAACTTCCTCATTAAGAATTATGAATGCCAGAAGAACGACGACGTAAGCAAGGGACACGAGAAGATCCAGAGAGGTGACTACCAGAAATCCAAGAAGAAGCTTGGTGTTTTTGGTGTAGATTGAGATCTCAAAGTTTTCAGATTTTAGACCTTAAATTTTCTGATATTAGACCAGATTCCAACGTTATAGAACTACAGATCCAGTTAAGTGCATTCAAATACTGCTCTTATTTTTTTAATCTACGATTCGCATCTATTTTTCCTAGATCTCCTAAAGTGTGTCGATCTATTAGATAGCAAAGAAAAACTTCGATTTTTCGATAAATGCATTTTCCAATTTTTCGAAAATTTTCCTGACTCACTAATGCCATCAGATCCGTGAAGAGGTGGATAATGATCCAGAATACTAGTGGTCCATTTGTTGTACATATCTTGTGTTGGGAGAGAACAGTTGGTTCATTGTAGCGTTCCAAAATAGAGACATTGAATGATTGACATGTCATCAAAGGATGTTTGAAGCCTGAATTAAACTTTTTTTAGTCCAAATGATAGGATTAGCAAATGTTACCTGTTAAGTAAGTCGCCACAATGACAATAATCTCCAATGTGCATAGAATTGCTACATCGACTGCCACGTGGCAGCAGAGAATTTTATACTCGAAGTCGTCCATCCTTGAATGAGCCGAAAAGAATGAAAAAAATGGACGTTGAAGCTGACGAAAAAAAAAGAAGAAGAGTGATGATTCGGTGGGCGTGAAGTGTCAAGAGTCCCCAGAAGATGAGATTTTTCAATTATTTTTGAGCTCCCTTTCATATTTCTTTTTGAAACTCAAGTAGTCTCCCTGGGCATCACAACGCCTTCTGATTTAAAAGTTCGCTTGTTGGATTTCAAATCGGGAACATTGTTTTAGGTCTTCGCTAACTAAAAACACAACAAGAACAGAAGACGAATCATGGGGAAAATATGTCTGCTGAATGGTTGTGATCTACGGATATGAGAAGTTCGAACTTTGAGATTTTCCATTTACAGATGTATAAATAGGGTCTCGTGTTATGGTCACATGTGGTTCAAGAGGTATTTCGAGAAATTTGAAGAAACAAATCTCCGCAAAGGATCTGAGTGCATGTACACATTCTCAAGGCAATAGAACTTACACAGTTGATTTCATTCACGTTGGTTTGGAAAATATGGAACGGATTACAGAGAACTTGTAGTTTGTTAAAACTAATGGAACATCTAGGTTCTTTTTATTATTTTCTGGAGAAGAAAAACAACAAAAATAAATAAGTTGAAGACGAAACTTTGCAAGGAAATGGCACATAATTTCTGGTAGAATCCTGAAACATGTGTATTTTCAGACGTTCTTCGATTCGGTCCCCCAGATCGAACCATACGGGTCATAAAAGAAAAGTGACTCAATTCCTATGATCTGTGCTCGCATGATAATTTCTTTCTGCTTTTTGAAAAAGCCTTTTGAAATTCCTCGAAAAGCATGAGACAATGAAACCAAAAATCTTTTAAAATTCAAGACTTCTTTCAATCCTAGCTCCGCATGCTGATAACATCACTGAACCCAAAAAGAAACCTTTCGAGGCAAGACTCGAACTTCGGAATAACACCGAAAAGTGGGAAGAAAATTCCGGGGCTTCGTGGGAGTTGGAGATCATATAAAATGGTCAGCGAGACCTGGATTAGTGCTCATTTCGGCAAGTGTTCGTTTTGTGCTCTTTTTGTTCAAATACGAAAAACCTATGATTTGAAAAGAGGTTTTGGTTGTATTCACACAATGATTCTGATGATATTCAACTTGATACTCTTCGGTCCACTGGTAAGTGATAGCTAGGTTTTTTGTTGAATATTTACTGTTGTGACATGAATTCTTTTTGAAAGTATTATTTTCAAACGATATCGCATCTCAAGTGTTGCCTCATTAGTTTTTTACCGGACAACCTGTAATAAAAGGCGTCCATACGTTTCAACTTTGAATTCAATTATCTCAATTTTTGTGCATAGTATCAAAAATGTCTCAACTGATAAAACACTTCTGGTATTACAATCAAAACTTTATCACTTGATAACTTTTGTATATCTTTGACAGGAATCGAGATAAATTGACTCGAAGTTGAAAGTTATGAGGCCTTTCTATTACAGGTTTTACGATAATTCTGCTACCACGATGCGAATATCTGTTAAAATATTTTGTTAAAAATGAAACTATATTATTATTTTGTTCCTTGTTCCAGATTCCCTTCGTCATTTCACAAGTCGTCACCGGAAGCACCGTTCGAGTCGACGTTGGCGTCATGATGTGCAAAGATAACAAGGCACTGATTCGTAACACTGCACGTTTATAACACCTCCGATTATAGTTGAACCCATTACAAACTTGATACGTTTTTCAGGATATGGCCACCTCTGTCGGTTGGCAAACATCAGCGTCTGCAATTGAAATTGCAATGGATCGGATAAAATCAGAACACTTGATTGATAACATTGATATCAAGTGAGATCAGACTCCGAATAAAGGATTGAATAAAAGAGGTTTCAGTTTCATTTATGTATTTGATGACTGTAGTGAATCAAAGGCAGCTGGATTGTCCTCAAAGTTGATGATGGATGCCAATGTGAGTGCGATCATTGGACCAACATGTAATGCAGCTGGACTAGCGGTTGTGAACCTTGCTGGATACTATAATACACCTGTTCTCACTTGGGGACTAACGATTTCATCAAACTTCATTGACACTTCTAGATATCCGACTACGGTTACAATTGTTCCTGTAGCTAAATCGTGAGTTACACTTGTAACACTTGAAATGCAAAAATGAAAATTTCAGAATTGCTGCTGCTATTCATGAAGTGATGGCTCAGTTCGAATGGACCGAGTTCGTCTATGTTTTTGTTGAGGATGAGAAATGTGGATATTTCCGGGATGACCTGGAACAGATCACTGCAGATTCTAACCATACATCTCTCAGCAGAACAATTCAGATCTATGACCAATCCTACACAAATTTGGTTAGACAATTGGAAAAGTTGAAAACAGTATCAAGAAGTAAGTGGTGTTCAAAACAAACTGAAATTGAGAAGAAATTCCTGTTCAGTATTCACGGTCTGTCTTCCGGAAGCAGGAGATATCAAAAGACGATTTATGCTAGCTGCATACGATCTTGGGATGACTACGGAAGAATACGTGTACTTGTTCGCTGGACCGAAGTCTACAGCTTATCGTAAGATTTGGTTTTTTGTATTGCGAAATTCTTCTAAACTTTCAGAACAAACCTCTTCTACTGGAGAAGTTGTTGGTATTTGGAAAGACTGGAGTGATGAACCCGACGGCCGTGACGAAGAAGCAAAACTTGCATTCATGAGAACTATGGTGATAGTAGCCACTCCTGTGCAAGGAGACAAATTTGCGTCATTCAAGAAAGATGTGATTGAAAGAATGAAATTACCCCCGTACAATTGTATTGAAGAATGCAAGGATAAAAAGTATCAGGAGGCAGCAGAATATGCTGACCAACTTCATGACACCGTCTATCTTTACGCCCTCATTTTGAACAAAACAATAGAGGAACAAGGAATTGAGCAAATCGCCAATGGAAGCAACATTGTGACTCGAGGCGCTGGAATCGAGTTTGAAGGAATGTCTGGTTTGGTGAGAATGAATGGAATTGGATACAGACTACCCAACATGAACCTGGCAAATTTGGATTCAAATGCTACTCAAAGAACAATTGCGTTTATGGATATTGATGCGTCTAGTGTGGTAAGAATGCATTTTTAAAAATTTTGTTTATGGCATAATTTTGAAGAACTGGACTTGGGCGATTCTCGACGAACGTATGGTTTGGGATGCCTACAACGGCCATGTACCACAAACTCGCCCGGAATGTGGATACACTGGAAAGAGTTGTCCTGTGAACTTTTTTGTGGATTATCTGTACATCGTTATAATAGTGGCAATTATTATTGTTCTCTGTACTGCCGCCGCTTTAATTGCTGCCTACTTGGTGGTTAAAGCAAGAAGAGATGAAGAACTGAGACTTGATGATCAGTGGATTGTACCACATGGAATGCTTCAGTCAATTATGAAAGGCAGAAAAGAGAGTCACCACTCTTCCAGATCTCTTCAAAGCAACTCTACAACTACAACTGGAACCACTGGGATCTCCTCAAGATCTGTGTTTTTCCCAGAAACCGAATCTCAGGGTTTCTTCATTTACATGAATGAACCCGTGCTGGCAAGAAAATATCAACTACGAGTTCCGATTCTCAAGGCAGATCGAGCTGAACTCAGAATGCTGAGAAGCATTGAGCACGACAATGTGAATCGTTTCATTGGATTATCCATCGACGGTCCAGTTTACATGTCATTTTGGAGGTATTGTAGCCGTGGAAGCATCAAAGACGTCATTGCGAAAAGCTCAATCAACATGGATGGTTTCTTCATTTATTGTCTAATGAAAGACATTGCCGCTGTGAGTGTGTGGTCATTGAAATAGAGAATCCCCGTCATGTTTTCTTTTTTCTTCGTCTTGAAATTTCGAGAAATTCACCAAAAGCCAACCATTCAACAATTGCAGGGGCTTCAATACATCCATCACTCTCCCATTAGACAACACGGAAGTCTAACTTCTGAATGCTGTTATATTAATGATAGATGGCAGGTTAAAATAGGAGCTTATGGGTTATCATTCATGCATGGCGTCGAAAAAAGATCGGAAGATTGTAAGCAGGAAGTTCATTTTGAATAAGGCATACTTGTGGTTTCAGCCATGCTTCATACGGCTCCGGAAGTTCTGAGAGAAGGGTTGGCATCTGGAAGTCAGTTAGGGGATATTTATAGTTTCGCAATAGTATGTTCTGAGTTGGTTGGTCATTGTTCAGCATGGAACTTGGAGAACAGAAAAGAAGAAGCCGATGGTAATAGTTAAGGTTCTGTCCTTCGCCTTCATGGGTAATTCCAGAAATCATTTTCATGGTGAAACGTGGAGGTCGTATCCCGTTCAGACCGAGTTTAGACGAAGCCGATGAAGATATCAATCCAGCGATGCTTCACCTGATCCGAGATTGTTGGGATGAAGACCCAAAGCAGCGTCCGAACATTGACATGGTCAACAAGCTGATGAAGAATATGAATTCTGGCAGGTCCGGGTAAGCCCCTGAACTAACTGACACTACTGACAACCAATACATCTCTTTCAAAAATTTTATCGTTGTTTTTACTACTCAACAAAAAAAACTACATACAAAAATGAAACGACTTCCCTCGGCGAAACAAACAATTGTCTATTTACCTTTCCATTCTATTCCGAGGAGTTTAGCAACTAACGAACACACGTCCCTACTATCTCTCCCACCCATCTCCCAATCGGCCCCCTTTCGTTTACCGAGTAAGCTACAAATTTTATTATTTTTTGCAGAAGTGCAAACCTGATGGATCATGTGTTTTCGGTATTGGAGAAACACGCATCTAGTCTGGAAGACGAAGTTCAGGAGAGAATGAAAGAATTGGTTGAAGAGAAGAAAAAGAGCGATATTTTGTTGTATAGAATGTTGCCACAGTAAGTAAAGAGACATTTGGATTCGGGTTAGAATTGTCTGAAAAGTCTGCAAATCCTTATCGAACACTGAATTTTTTAAAATCCAAGCTTCTCTCGATCGCACCATGTCAATACTCACAAATTGTGTCTGGAGACACATGTGTGAACAAACCAAAATCATGAAACAAGACAGAAAACTGTGCATCTCCAAGAAAATCGGGTTTTTTGTGACTTCCGCACAACTATTTTTGTTTGAAACCACCGAATTATTTTTAGCTACCAGTTCTGTGTCGTAGTCATACAGGGTGGTGCATAAATAGCATAAAATTTGAGTAAACGTTTGTAATAGGCTAAAATTAAGAGCGCAAAAATTCAAATCATTCAACAATGAACTGGTCAATTTTCAAAACTACTTGATCAACTTTGAGCTGAGTTATCGCTTGTCAAAATTGCTTCATCTCATGGAAATCACAATCAAACATTACGCGGTTCATCTTTGGACAACCATAATAATACCTAGACTAGATGAATCGCTTTGAAAATTTCAGTAGCTCTGAATCAAACGTAAAATTTAATCAATTTTCAGCTTCTAAAATATTTATGTCTAGAGATATACTCGTTTTCGTCACACCGGGTTAATATGCGTCACCTTGTTTTGTAATTTTTCTGTGAATATGCCAAAGAAAACAGTAACTGATCGATCAAAAGTTTTATTTTATGTCATTTAAGGAATCATGATTCGTTCGTAAATACTTGATAGTGCAGTCGATGTGGGGGCAGTTGGGCGGGGTGTTGAATGTACAGAGGAGGTGTCCAGTATCAATTCGATTTATTGATTGTTCTGTTGACTTGGTCCAAATCCAGCCTCTCTCTTTCCATAGTATCCGTATCCACCGTAGTATGATGGGTATCCGTAGTAGCTTCCGTATCCGTATCCTCCGTATCCTCCATAGTAGGATGGGTATCCGTAGGATCCGTAGTAGTATTGAGCATCGGTCTCAGCGACGAAGGCGCAGATGACAAGAAGGGAGACAAGGATGAGACTGAAAATATTTGGGATTGAATTTTTCAGGAGTATTTCTAGAAAGAGAAACTTACAGCTTGGCGTTCATGTTGAGTGTGGTCGTTCGGAAGATTTTACTTTCGATGCCTTCTGAAACCAATCGACCTGAATTTATAGTACTCTTCATCCTCTGTTTACTCATCAATCAAAACTCCGCCCACTTTCTTACCCTACAGCCGCCCAAAAGTTATTTGTGCTCTGCCAATGTTTGAACCATTCGGCGGTAGCTAAAAAAGTAGAAAAGAGGAGCAGATCGAAAACCACAAAACAAACAAAAGTAAACAAATTCAAGACACAGAGGTACTCCCAAAAATTCCCTTTTTTTCAGACAAGTAGCGGAAAGATTAAAATTAGGTCAATCCGTGGAGCCAGAAGCTTTTGAAAGTGTTACGATCTTCTTCTCAGATGTTGTTGGATTCACTGTTTTGGCAAACAAAAGTACACCGTTACAGGTGATTCAAACGAACTCTATTTGTGTGCATTTTTGTAACTGTTTGTTCTTTCAGGTTGTCAACTTGCTCAATGATCTTTACACTACGTTTGACGCCATTATAGAAAGGAATGACTCCTACAAAGTAAGTGGTGAATTTCGAGTTTTAGGTTACACTGTTGACAAGTTTTACTAGAAGAGTCCTTGGTTTCTCAATGGTTTTTTGGGTGTAACGTTTTGATGACATTTTTAAATTTTGGGTAGAAATGGGAACGTGAATTTTGGAAACCGGACAGAATGTATCACCATGATGTATTGAAGTTTTTGAAACACAATTTTCCAGACGTCTTCGGTTAGGCACCAGAAACCATACATTTCTTTGAGCTATTTTTTAGTGCAAAAGTTTTGATCTGAATCAAATTAAAGAATTAGAGATTATGCATCTCTTGAACATTTTGAAACTCTCTTGGAAACAATTTTTCTACATTTTTTCAGGTGGAAACGATTGGTGATGCTTATCTCGTGGTATCTGGATTACCTCGAAGGAATGGTACGGAACATGTGAACAACATTGCTAATATGAGTTTAGAACTTATGGATGTTCGTGTTAAAATTCTGAAAATCTTCATGAAATTGCTTGTTTCAGAGCCTGCAATCTTATAAAATTCCACATTTGCCACAAGAGAAAGTTCAAATTAGAATCGGCATGCATTCTGGATCATGTGTTGCTGGTGTCGTCGGATTAACAATGCCAAGATATTGTCTTTTCGGTGATACTGTGAACACTGCCAGTCGGATGGAAAGTAATGGAAAACGTTCGTTTTTTTTTTTGAATTCAAACGTTTTGAGAATCAGAATTTTTTCAGCTGGTTTCATTCATTTGTCATCCGATGCTCATGAATTATTGACCTCGTTATATAAAGAATATAATACTGAAAATCGAGGGGAAGTCATTATAAAAGTAAGTCCTACTCGAATTCTGCCACAAATACAGTAATGTTCCAGGGAAAAGGTGTTATGCAAACCTTCTGGCTTCTGGGGAGGAAAGAAGAATGAGCCAAAAGTACATTGAAATCTTACATAGTGGACCTCCACAAAAATGAAGACATATCAAAAAATATTCGAGAAGAAATTTTATTTCAAATTAAATTTTTCTGTAAATAAATGAAAGAAAGGATTTAAAAAATGGATTCAATGATCTTTAAAAGTGTGACAATAACAGATTAAGAACATACTTTGTTGTTGTGTCTATACCCATATTTCTAGCGGATTCAAGAGAAAGAAGTCTTATTACGTTCTCTCCTCATAGTCAGTTATTATGGTTGTTATTATTTTGAAAATAATTTAAAATTGAATAAATATGGGGATGGAATGAGAAGAATGAGAATCGAGGAAGATAAGAGGGAATTCAGAAAGTTCTAACATCTTGGAGAGTAACAGGATCGAACTTCGATTTGAGGTGGAACACATTTTAAGGACCTTTTCACTCGATTCGATGTCTCAATATCTTCTTCACTTCCCACTGGAGCTGGTTCTTCAATTGTTTCTGGAAATTCGGCAGGCTCTCCGAACTCGATTTCATTTGTTGTTTGGTCGATTGAAATGAATTTCTCTATAAATATAAATTGTTCCATTAGTTCCAAAGTCATTCTTTTCTTTTCTTTTTTTTCCAAGTATCCATTTAATACACTGGAGTGTGTTTCGATCTCGAGTCAATATTTAGTGTGATAATAGGGACGAAGGCCATTCATTGGCACTTTGCTGAGAATTTTTTTCGAGGGAAAAAGATGGTGGCAAATAATAACTCAAATAAACTTACGATCATCGTACGCAGACTTTGAACCGAGATATTTGAGACATTTTCTTTTTCGAGACTGTTTGCCGCATTGACACTTGGTCCACTCGCTCCATGAAGTCCAGAGGACTAAAAGATCAGTTGATAAGAATGGAATGGGAGATTGGAAACATACTTTTCTTGCCGTTTTTGTATGGAGACGATTTAGAAGAGGATCTTTTTGAACGTATTAGAGCAAATCCGTCTTCGGGAATAGGGAATGGGAATGGACTGGCAGTGGTGGTCGTGGCATCTGACTCGTCGGTCTGAAAATGGGAAATTAAAGGTTTGGTGGAGGATGATATTTAGGGACCCTATATTTTGATTTACAAGAATCACAAATCAAAGAATGTATCATCTACAGTACCGGTCATGAAAATTTTGGAGGGTCTAAAACAGACATAGAATAAAAACTTTACGTTCACAGAATTTTTCGAAAATACCTAGTTTTTCAGCTATTTGCCGATTTTTGAAAAACACCTACTTTTTTCACATTTTCAGTTCAAAAATCTGGGAAAAACAAGGTGTATCCCAGAAATCGGCAAATAGCTGAAAAACTAGGAATTTTCAAACAATTTTGCGAAAGCAAACTTTTAAATCTAGGTTTGCTTTATAACCTCCAAAACTTTCAAAGTGATTGGAAACTTGATAGCCGAGCTCGAGACTTCTGAAAATGGTCAAAATTGCCAAAAATCTACTGAAAAATAAGTTATTGCATATCTTATTGACCAATACAGTATATCTAGCATCATAATCCATCTACTCACCTCTCCTAATCTGAATCCAGCTGTCTGTTCTGTGATCTTCTCAACTGGCAACTGATCAGTCACTTCCGTTTTCACCTTATCATCCACCAGACGTTCCATATCATTTATCATCCAGGACAATGCTCTTGCCGTATCGCCTTCCAACATAACCTCTTCGGATGGCTTCGATGGTTTTTCAGTTGTAGATTCAACGCCCTCTGGGATTTTCATTGTTGCCAAAATTTTTCTATTCATCTCCACTTTATTTCTCAACGCTGCAATTCTTGCTTCCAATTCTCGATTCTCCTCATAAACTCGACGATCTTTATCAGATGCCCAAGTCGGGTGTGGCTCCTGAAAAAAGCGATTGAAAACCAGAGTTGAAAGGTCTTCCCAATTGTGTGTGTCAACTTAGACTTTGATGCTCTACTTTACATTCCGAACTGTCAAAACTAGAGCAAACTAAACTTTTTGTGCCGCGTCAAACGAAACCGATGGGCAATGAAAAAGAGCTGAGAAAAAAACAATTGACTCCTCCTGTCGCGGGTGTAGAACAAACATCAGTGCAAAGTGTATAAAAGTAAAGATATTCGTGGTATTCATCAATCAGCTTCTCTCAGGCTTTTTCTACAACACACTAACGATGAACGCTAAGCTGTAAGTTTCAAATTCCAGATACTGAAAAATTCAAATCCTAAACTTTTCAGTCTCATCCTCGTCTCCCTTCTTGTCATCTGCGCCTTCGTCGCTGAGACTGATGCTCAATACTACTACGGTTCTTACGGATACCCATCCTACTATGGAGGATATGGAGGATACGGATACGGAAGCTACTACGGATGGCCATCATACTACGGAGGATATGGATACTATGGAAAGAGAGAGGCTGGATTTGGACCGAGTCAACAGAATAATCAGTAGGAAACATCTGCATCTACTGAGCCGCGAATGAACATGCCAACAACCAACTCAAGTATTTAAAATCAATGACAATTTGTTTCGAATGATAATTAACCAGCATAATAAAAATTTTTGATCGATCAGTTTGTTTACTTGACTTACAGAGAGATGAGTAACTGGTTCCGTTGGCTTCGGAGCAATGAACTTCTCCTCCTCGAGTTCGAACTTTGCTGGGGTTGGCATGGGCTGAAAATTCAAAGCTAACATAATTCCGAAGAACATAAACACTCACTTTTTGCATTGGTTGAGTAGCTGGAATAGTGTATTCAGTCGGAAGAACAGCAACCGTTCTAATCTTTCCAAGTCTGTTCAGTTTCTTCAATCTTCTATTTCTCCTCTTCTTTTTCAATGTTTTATTTGTGATTTCTACAGTAACCATCTTTGGTTTCTTTGTGGTAGCTTGATCATAATCCGATGGATTGGGTGCTGTTCTCAAGTATGGTCGCGGAGATGCTCGTTGCTCATTCATCAGTTTTGGGAAATGTTGCATATTCTGTTGAGAAGTGACAAGAGCAATTCTTGGATGATATCTTGGCGGAGGTGTCTCTGTGGTAGTCGTTGTTGTTGTTTCTTCCGTAGTTGGCTCCTCAGCAACAGTTGGAATGAATGGGAGCATTGACATTGGCATTTCAATATGAGTATTCTTGTGGATGGTGCTCTTCTGACCTCTCCATGTCTTCTGGTACTTGGGGAAATTGCAAAAGTTGGCATACTTCTTGGTGGTGCTCGTGTGCTTGGTTCTAACTGAACTGGCTCCTCCTCCCACATTGGTTCTTTTCCAATTGAATATGACCCAACACTGTGAGTAGATCCATCAGATTTTTCCTCAACATCCACGTCGATTGGGAATGATGGTGGAGGTTGGGTAGTTGGAGTTTTTGTTTCTGGCTCTGGCTCGAACTCAGTTGCCATCGTTCCAGGTGGAGCTGCAAATGTAGGAACTGAAACTTCTGGAAGGGGCTCCTCCAAAGTGTATTTTCCTCTAAAGTTGACGTCTTCTGGCTCCAAAACTGCTTCGTGGTCTACAACTTTTGGGCTTGGGTAGTGAGGAGTCACAGTTTGTGGAAGTGGCTCTGTGAATTCAGTGGTTGTCTCCATTTCAGTTGTTGTTTCCATTTCTGTTGTGGTTGTTGGAGCTTCAGTAGTCGTTGTGGTTGTTGCTGTTGTAGTTGTGGTGGAAGGAGTCGTAGTTGTAGGTGTTGTAGTTGGTTCATCAGTACTCTTCGGGTACTTTTCAAATTCGAATGTTGTTGGAACTGATGGATTTGTTGGTTTTGGAGATTGTGGAGCCATTCGGATTGTTTCATCGAAATATTCTTCTTCCTCGCCTGACATCATTCCCACTCCTGTTCCGCCACGGTTCATCACGGAAAAGTTGTCGGTTGTAGGAGCAGAAAATGAGGGTGAACTTGTTGGAGCAGAAAATGAGGGTGAACTTGTTGGAGCTTAAAAAATATACATAATTTTTTATGAAAGCTGTGAATTCCATACCTCTTGGTGCAGGTGGCATGGCAGTGGTAGGGGAGATCATATGGAAATTTCGATTTCCTCGAGTTTGAGCATCTGGAAACAGTTTTAGAATTTTGCCAAGAAACCTACAAAATCTCACATTTAGCCTCATCTGGAGTCTCTGGTTCATAATCCTGATACAATTGTTTCATTGCCATTTCCCTATCAGCTGCCTCTGGATCTTCATAGTCCAGACTATTCTTCCTTGGTGGTGAGTTACATGATTGGAACTCCTGAAAACGTTCTCACATCTTTATGGATGACTACTGTCCTTGAAAAGTTAATCCCTCGTCACGTCAATTATCATTTCTTCGTCGAGAGAAAAAAACGGAGACGAATGTGGGTTAGTAATCGTTTTAGGAGAAAAAGAAAGAATTAAAAAGATAGGGAGAGTGACATTACTAGTGTCTCAACCAACGCCCTGAACTGGGAAAAATTGGAGAGAGAAAAAGAAAAAAGGAGACGACGTACCTTATTGTGCCCGATACATTTGTATCCACGGACTGTCGAGCACGCACGGACACGAATCATGACATTGTTGGAACAGAATGACCATGGAGACCACATTGACCAGGAAGACGATATTACAGAAACTTAAAAGTCAGAAATCAGATATTGAAATTTTTCAGCGGATTGCACTTACCGTAGAACTTGTAATAAAAGGTTCCCTTACTTTTAAATTTGAGCCAATTTATATCGGTTCCTGTCAAAGCTAAAACAAAGTTGTCAACTAATAAAATGTTTTGATGAACAATTTATCAGTTGACCAATTTTTTTCATATTTTCGACCGGGGCCGAGATAAATTGGCTAAAATTTTATAAGTTTGGAGGCCCTTCTGTTACAGGTTTTACGGTAACAGTCAATTTCGTTAATTTTCTACTAAAAAACTCACATGGTTCATACTGTTCCGTGACTGCCACAGACATGAGAAATAAGAAAAAAAGCTTCAACCACATGTTTCCAGAGGATTGAAAATCACTATCCTCCTCGTTTTTATGCCGTCAGGAGATGTAATCCCGAAAAGGAACAGGTATTTTTTCTGGCTCTATTGCCTCTCGTGGAATACTCGATGGTGTGTTTCTTAAGAAAAAGATTGAAATCTGTTTGAGTTTTTGAGGTGAGTGGCGGAATAAGGTGACGGTAAAAAAGAGACAGGAACGGATATCTGAGGTAAAGATCAATCGATGTGTGGGGAAGGTTTTTCAAGAAGTCGAGACAAGGTGGCATGGGGATAAAAAAACAATAGAAATATGGGGAATCGGAAAAAAAGCCGATGATTTTTCAACATGATTTTTGGGGAATAGCTTTTTATGGGACTTGCCTAGGAACGATCACAAAAAACATGATACATTTTTTGAATATTAAAGTAATAAAAAAAAGAAAGAAAGGAAAACCTTAGAAGAGCCCCCACACTGTCAGGTTTGAGAAACGTTTCTTTCGTTCCTATGCAAGATATCTAATATGTGTCGACTGATAAAAAACTGTTAATACTCTGATAAACATAACTTTTATCAGTTGACCTTTTTTGATAAAATTGTATCAAAGCTAAAAGTTAGAGGGACCTTCTATTACAGGTGTTACGGTAAACTTCAAAATTTTCAGTTGGAGAAATCATTTCAAAAATAATCAGATAGCCCAGCAGGAGTAAGTAGACAATCAAGAAGATCAGATGATGTCCACCAACATCCATATCCAATTCTGATGAATATGGAATGTCTGGGCGGCCCAAAACTTTAAAGCAACACGAATAATTGGCAGACCATAAAAAGGGTTTAAAATAAAATTGTTCCTTTAGGAAAAGACAAAAGGATGTGCGGTGTATGTGTCTCAATAAAGGTTGTATCCAGCAGCAGCAGTCGGTTAGCTTTCTTTCATCCAAATTCTCTTTTCGGGTGGGGGTCATTCGGGTGAAAGTCGCATAAGAATGATGTGAAGAGATATGGGGAATCAGCCGTTAATTGGGATGAGACATAAAGAAAAGAGACAAAACGAAGGATGGAAGCAATCACCTGCTGAGATGGAAGAGAAAAAAGAAATTTATCATTTTCCGGATGGTTTTTCTTTCTCTTCTCCCTCTGTTTCAAAATCTACCTGCTCTGGAAACTTGTCCTGTACATTCCTACACAACGCACATCGTCCTCAAAGTTTATCTTTCAAGATTATCTTTTCGGCGCTCGCATGTTTCTGTCATGGCGCCGGGTATTCAATGAGGCCAAGTTTTATTGTTTTTTCGAGGGAAAGCACTTCATGTTCACACCTGTTATAGGCATGAAACAATTGTTGTTATCTGTGGATGTTGATCTAAATGAGTGGAAAAGAAAAGCTTTGAAGAAACATCAGGATGAGCTGAAAAAGAATTACCGTTAACAGTATAGTAGAGTGACCCCCTGACTTTTAACACTGAGCCAATTTATCTGGGTTTTTGGTGAAGATATCGGGAATTAGCTAACTAGCAAAATATTTATGGCATTTTTCATTTTCATAAAAATCTGGGTTTACGAGGTGTTGAGGTTCCCTTGTGAAGGCAAAAAAACCTTTAAAAAGATGTCAGTAACTCCCGCAAAGTGTTTTTCGAATTGTTTTAAAATCTCCTGAAAATTTCAAGATTCAAGTATAAGAGCCGAAAGTACAAGTACAGTAGTTTTCGCCTTTCTAGTGGAAAATAGTCAACTTTGAAGTCCTGAAAAAGTAGTGCAGAATTTTCGATTTGTCTGAAAATTCAGAGTAGGCTAACAAGGGAACGATAACACCTCGTCAGTTTGGATTTTGATGAAAATTTCAGGATATGTCAAGGATATCGTATCTAGACATCCCTGAAAATTTTAGAACACGCTCGCCAATTTCAGCAGAGTTATATCAGTTCAAAGTTTTAGTACTGAAATCCGTTGATTTGCATGCTTTACCACACATTCCATCCCCGAAATCCCTTTAAAAGGAGTTTGAGTTTTTAGTCACAAGGCTGTGGGCTCGGGCTCTCTAGTGCTTTTTCTTTGTTTTTCTTTTTTTTCTTATTTTGCGACATTTCATATCAACCATGGTCGGAAAAAAATCTCAAATTTTTTCGAAAAATTTTTTTTTAGAAAATGTCTGAAATATGATATCACACATAATTCTAAGTTTCATGTTCTGGAACCTCCTGGGAGCGGAGAAAATCGCCTTTGAAATTCGCTATTTTTGCACTGAAAAAGCGATTTTTGGTACTGAAACTGGTATAACTCGGCTGAAACTGGCGAGCGTGTTCTAAAATTTTCAGGGATGTCTAGATAGGCTATCCTTGATATATACTGAAAATTTCATTGAAATCCAAACTGACGAGGTGTTGTGGTTCCCTTGTAAGCCAAACGCGAGCTTCACTTCTGTAAATGACAAATTTTTTATACAAATTCAACAAATCAATCTTTAAAATCTTTAAAATATTAAAAAAAGAAAATCTAAACAAAAAAATCTATCGATTTGAAGTCACTATGAAAAAAAAGTCAACTGATTTGAATTAAAAAATTTCACCAAGTTCAATAATCTTATCTGCGTGTATTTCCAGACCACGGGGATTTCTGAAATTTTATTGACCTGATTTGACCTTGTCACCATAACATACTCTACTAACCTTAATCAATGTGGCAAAGTGTCTATGATCAGACCTCAGATAAGGGAACAATCAGTTCCAACTTTGAGTTCCAACTCTCCTCCCCTTGGCTCTGCTGGTCCTCCTGGTTCTCCCCTGGCTCTCTCCTCTCCTGCAAGTTCACCCTTCTCCGGATGATCCGAAAGGTCAAGAATTAGGTATAAAAGATTTTCTGTGGGCGCGGTTTTCAAAATTTCAAAATATTCTAGAGAGTACTTCATTCGTGTTGAATCGATGTTCTCCGTGGACTCAAAAATGGAGAAGTCAGCAATGAGAAAATTGTGAGTAGGGCATTTATAAAATTTTCTAGAAGGTTTTAAATTTAAAGATGTTAAAGATTTTAAAGATGGGAAATTTAGAAATTCAGAACTGAAACATTCGAATTTTCCGAATATTAGAACTTGAACCGAAAAATTTAGGAAAATGAGAAGTTTCAAAAAATTCTAGATACATAAATCAGAAAAAAAACAGAAATCCAAAATTAAGATGATTCCGTTTTTTTTTTCAGAATCCTCCACACTCATCGCATCAACCTTTCACTATGTGGATATGGTCGTCTCAAAGTTGCCTCTCAGACACAGTGAGGAAATGTTTTGAAGAATAAAAATTTCATTTATCTTTTTTAGGTTGTCTTCAACGACGCTGTTGTAAAGCATGTTGACGTCCCAACATTGGCTGGTCTAGTTGACGTGGCCAACGAGGATGAGGTATCATTTTACTAATAAAATATACTATATCGATGATTTTACAGGAACCCTTGCTGTGGACATCAATGGATCATCCATGCTGAAGAAGCGTTGGAAGTTGAAGAGTTAGCTGCCCGCGTCGAGACCACCTAATCGTATCTACACACCAGGGGGCACTTTTACGCTGAGCTTTTTTAGGAAATTTTTTCACACAGTTTTTTTCCGTGACATTTCCAAGAAATAAGAGCCAATAAAAAATGAGAAACGTGGATCCACAGTATTCGCATGATGCGAATTATAGTGAATTTATTCCTCTCAAAAGATGGAGAGAAAATACCCCAAAAGCCGAATCAGTATTAAATACAAAAAAAATAGCAACCTAAATCGGGATACACTAAAAACAAGGCCCCTAAAAGTAAAATCAGCTATTAATAATTATTTTCAGCTTCTAAAGTGTAGGCTTAGGCTTTAAAAAGCAGACTTACGGCGCACACACTTAAAAATCAGACTTAGAAAAAATATTCCGTAAAACCTGTATTAGAAGAACCCCTTTAGTAGATATGTCCCTCTAATAGAAGGGCCCTCTGTGAAAAATGACCCCTCTTCAATGTGTTTTGGAATAAAAGTTTTCGTAATTTTTCAATGGAAAATATTCCACGAACTCCATAAGTCAATAGAAATTTGTTGAAATTCTATTTTTCGATAAAAATCTTGCTAAATTTTGGTGAAATTGGCAGATTTTCATGAATTTTGAACGAAACTTCGTCGACTTTTTAATGCAAAATTTCGGAAAAAACTAGCCAGAAAAATAGAAGGGCCCTCTGGAGGTAACTTGGAACAATAGAAAGGCCGGTTCTTCTAGTACAGGTTTCACGGAAATGAAAGTAGGCTCAGTCCTTAAAAAGTAAGCTTAGAACCCTAAATATATGTATACCTAAAAACAAAGATATCTGAAAGTCAAATCAGAAGTTACTTCAGCTGTCAAAAAGTATGCTTAGAGCTTGAAAAGACATTTACAAAATGTGGAAAAATCGCTAGAAAATTCTGAATACCTATGCAAAAAATTCCCTTTTCTGGTAATACTTGAAGTTGGTTTTCTAAGTTTTCGATTCCCAATGTTATAAAAACATTTTATGTTCATAGAACATGTGTCTCTCAACCGATTCCGGAATATTTTTACAAATTTATGAAAGCTATGTTTTTCCAGTTTAGAATATTCTAAAAACTATCCCAATAATTTTTTTAATGTTCAAATTAGCCTTTAGAAGTATTAAAAAATCCCTATGAAATGCCTATTCAGGAAAAACAATTTCCCCTTCTTTTTTCTGAACACTTGGTGATGTTTTTCCAGTTTCGGAAACTCCAAAAACTACCCCAAGAATCATTTTAATTTACAATCCGAAATCCGAATTCCGAAAAAAAAAGAAAAAGTTATTTTTTTTTTGAAAACGTCAAGTATATAATAACCATCGAAACTTCATCTAACGTGCTCCCGATTAGCCTAGTGGTTAACAGGGATGAATGCATGGAATCGCCCCCATTGAATGTGTTTGGAGACTGTCTAGTCGTATTCTGCTGTAGTAGTTCATTAGGGCTCAATTCACTTTGCTGTTTCAGTAGGATAAAAAGTTCAAGGGGGAATCGTAGG